AAACGAATGAACGTTCTGCTCATGTACAAAAGCGAGAGATTATACAGAAATGATGAACACTAAATTATCAAAAAGCGATGTGTATGATGTGTATGTGATACTACAACCATCAAATGGTCATGGCCAGGGGTGGACTAGCCCGCCGGTCTACCGAGAAAAATGCCGGTGGGCCCCTAGGTATGTAATCCCGGTGGGCCTTAGGTATAAAATCCCGGAGGGCCCCTAGGTATAAAGTCCCGGTGGGCCCCTAGGTATAAAATCCCGATGGGCCCAAAGGTATAAAATCCCGGTGAGCCCCTGGGTATGTAATCCCGGTGGGCCCTTAGGTGATAAATCCCATTGGGCCCCAAGGTATTAAATCCCAGTGGGCCCCAAGGTATTAAATCCCGGTGGGCCCCCAAGTAAGAAATCCCGGAACGCCTCAAGGTACCAAGCTGTACATTGGTACTTTAATTTAAAAAAAAATCTTTTTGCGTACATTTTCAACAAGATGAACAAGATCATCGGGCTTTCTTGGGGGAAATGCACTGTGAAAATTGTACTATAAGGTTGGGGGGGGGGGGCTGTTAGAATTCCCCCCCCCCCCCGCCTCTTGAACACAGCCAGTCCACATCTGGTCATTGGCATAGAGATAAACACCGGCAAAACATGTGTCTTTCAATACTGAAGTTAATTTAAGATGGATGCCCTAGGTCAGGGGTCTCCAAACTTTTCAGCCCGAGGGCCGCATTAACTATCAAATATCAGTTCGGGGGCCAGAGTTTCTTTAAGGCATCGCTTCAGGGTCGTCTCCCCCCCCCCCCACCGAAATATAATTTATATACAAATATATACAAATTTCAAAGCTAAATTTTACAATTGTTTTGAATTTTCTGTGCAAAGCTCCCCAGCCACCTCCAACGAACATTTATTCAGTGGACAAAAATATCGTCGCGGGCCGGATAAAATGACTTCTCGGGCCGCATCCGGCCCGCGGGTCGTAGTTTGGAGACCCCTGCCCTAGGCTGACACAATGAGCTACTTCTTTAAATCAATGTGACACTCACTATATTCGCGACAGGGTGGGTTGTGGTGAACCTAATGACATGTCTTCAAATGTAATAAGTAATGTAGGACATTGTAGGTCTATTCACGAGCATAAATAGATAGGCTAAAATGACATTTTTACAAGTCCAATTTAATTTGAACAAACACCATGTAGGCCTAGTACGATTGATAAAATTATGACCGCCCGCAGTCAAAATAAGGAGAAAAAACAAACGTGGATTTAGGCCTCATAAAACTACTTCAATGAAAGAGAGAAAAAAACTTAGATTTAGGCCTCCCACAAAACTACTTCAATCTACAAACACATTTTGTTTAAGTGATCATGAAAGCAGACAGAACGCAAAAAAATGTATAAACTGTAAGGTATTGCTAAATTACAAAAACTACCATTAAATCCTCAAACATAATTATAAAACGTTTCATTTTAAACCATACAAAACTTCATTTTTATTCAAACTAAAATGTCAAATTTTCAATTTCTATCAACCATTAAATTCTCATCATATATTAACTTAATTTGTTATAGTCATAAGAACCATTAACTAGTCAAATAAAACCATTAATTTTTAGTCATATAAACCACCAAACTCTCATCACATCAGATATATACCTTTCAATTATACAAACCATTAAAATTTTCATCACATATACAGTTAACGTTTGCATAAAATATACCTTTAAATGTCCATCATACAAACCGTGAAAATTTTTATCATATATACTCTTATAAAAAGTTAAAATTTTCAAACAAATAATCCGTTAAAATGTGTGTCATATATACCTATAAAATTTTCATCATCTATAAGGTTAAACATTTTATTACGTAAACCGTTAAAATTTTAATCAGATAAACCGTTAACATTTTCATGATGTATACCGTTAAGCTTATCATGTATACCATTAAAATTGTCATCATATAAACATTTTAAATTTTAAATCAAATAAACTGTTAACATTTTCTGTCAAATAAGTCATTACATTTACAGTCATATAAATCAAGATGCACTTCTATTAGCCCAGTAATTGGTAGCCATTGCAGCTGACCGCTACTGAGCTAATCCTCAAATGAAAGAAGACTGGTGCTGAGGTCAAGTGGATTAACAAGGATTAACATCAATAACAAATCCAAAAGCTATCCCAATATTACCCAGATTATATAAAAATCTTGCGGTTTTTTTAATAATTCGATTCATTCATATTTCTACAGATAAATTGATTATGTAACATGAATCTTAATCCTAAGCTTAGCATTAACGCCGGATGAAAACTACGGAAACCTGATATTGGAAATCCAGAGTTATACGATCAGCCTATATTTTTAGAACAAACTTAATATGATTTTATTTTTAAATTTAAAATTTAGTTGTTTTTTTCCTCAGTTTTTAAAACAATATTTTTATGAACTATTTAACGTATATGGTGTTACGCTGACATTTTATAAAAATACAAATTCATTAAAAAAAAACAAATTTTAATTCAAGTTGTTTTTTTTTTAAATTGTTTCATTCTAATTTTTTTATTTGAATCTACATCACCCCTGAACATCATTTTATAATTATAATTTAGTATGAGGAAACCTTTTTGCTGTTTTGCTTTCCAACAGAGAATCAAATTTCAATAATCAAATAATAAATGGTAAGAAATAGCCGTTATATTCAACAAATATTTTGCTGAAATTAGCATGCATCACAAATGAAAAACTGATAATAATTAGCAAGAGAATAATTGATACTAAATTTATTTATATAAGCACACACTGAACATATTTCGTATACATTTTAGTCATCAAATTATATAATAATACGTATCAAATGCATATATTCATTCACAGTATTCAGTTTAAGTATTTTGTAATCATACATTTGATAAAAATAAGCAAATGAATAAAATATTAATCCAATCCAATATTTTTAAAAATCGCAGCCTTCTTTAATATAAAAAGCGGAATATGAATGAAAGCTTAGCTGATACAAATGAAAGCAAGAGAAAGGCCTACCTTTACATATTGTTGTTTTGTTTTAAAAATGTTTACACTAATTTTTGTGCATATTTAAAAAAAAAATATTAATCCACTAATATTCTTTACAAAACAAACAACACTTAGAAACTATCATTTTTTGTAATCAGACTTCATAATTCAGTCCTCATTGGGGTACTTCTCTAATAGTAATGCAACCTTTATAAATCGTAATTAATTATTAATGCAACCTTTATAAAACATAATTAATTAATTATCTAGTAGCGTCACAAAGCAAGGTGGGGGGGGGGCGGTCTGCACCAGGTGACACCACTTATGGGATGACACCAAACTAAATAATTGTATGTCAGAGAAATGTTTTATCCAGGTAAAATGATATAATAGTCGGGTTGCTGATAGCAAACTGAAAATGGACAATTTTTGGTGGAGGAGGGTGGGGTGCCACCCTCAGTATCCGCTCCGGGTGACTCCCGGACTAATGACGCCACTGTAGCAACCAATAATTTAAAGTACCAACGGTATTTACCTGTTTTTTTTTTTAAATAAACTTTACCATTAGCTTTTATAAGGATATAGCTAAAATAGACACACTTCTTGTAACATGATGAAATAAACTAGCAACCACAACAACATATTCTCAATATAAAGACATTAGTTATACCCTTCTAATCATAACTCAATGAGAGGAATAAAATTGCAAGTTTTAAAAATGGAAGTTTTACAAAAAATATTCACTCTTCCAACATAGATTTTATTTGGGTTTTCAAACTATAACCCCAAATCATCTCCCCCTAATCAGTTTTTTTTTTTTTTTTTTTTTTTTAATTTGGACTAGATCTAATATTGAAATTTAAGAAAAAAAAAGTTTGAACTATTATTAGAAGGGTGAAGGGAGATAACTCCTTGCGACTGTAAAATTAAAACAAAACCTCTTTTTGTTAGTATTAGTACAGTTGTGTGTATTTGAAGTTGAACATCAACATGAAATTAAAAAAAAACGTAGCATTTCATTTGATCAACTATGAAAGACCCCGGTCTTGCATGCACGTTGAAGCTGGTAGTTGAATGTTTTTATACAAGGCTAGTAAACATAGAAAGGGTAGGTGGACCGACACGAGAGTTAGAAATACATCGTAAGTCGTCGAGTTGCCATTTACAATTATCTCGGCTGAATTCTATTTTGGTTTTAATACTAAAACCTCAGCTGTATAACAAGGCGTATCAATATTTCGTGTACAAAAATGGTATTAGTGGTAGTCAATAAAGACTTATATTATCACTTGTAAAAAAATGAGGACTTTTGTCCATTATGGTAACATAGTTTTCTTTTTTATGCCATTTCTGTTTCTAAGAAGTTGTTTAGTTAAATATATTATGTTTTTAAGTCATATGACATGTTGTATAGGGGAGGTTTTTAAGTCATGTGAGAGGTTGTATGGGGGAGGTGTTGATTCTTGGTGAGGTACCTCAGCAGATCCGGTGTGCGCATGTGTTATTTGAAGACCTTGGCCGAGTGATGGCTCCAAGAGGTCAGGTGTGGGGGCAGGTCATAGGTCATGTGTAGTGGATCAGGGGTCAGGTGTAGTGGGTCATGGGTCATGTGTAGTGGATCAGGGGTCAGGTGTAGTGGGTCATGGGTCATGTGTAGTGGGTCAGGGGTCAGGTGTAGTGGGTCATGGGTCATGTGTAGTGGGTCAGGGGTCAGGTGTAGTGGGTCATGGGTAATGTGTAGTGGGTCAGGGGTCAGGTGTAGTGGGTCAGGGGTCAGGTGTAGTGGGTCAGGGGTCAGCTGTAATGGGTCAGGGGTCAGGTGTAGTGGGTCAGGGGTCAGGTGTAGTGGGTCATGTGTCAGGTGTAGTGGGTCATGGGTCATGTGTAGTGGGTCAGGGGTCAGGTGTAGTGGGTTATGGGTCAGCTGTAGTGGGTCAGTAGTAGGTTAACGGTCACGTGTAGTGGGTCAGGGGTAGTGGGTCATGGGTCAGGTGTAGTGGGTTATGGGTCAGGTGTAGTTGGTTATGGGTCAGGGGTAGTGGGTCAGTAGTGGGTTAAGGGTCAGGTGTAGTGGGTTAAGGGTCGGATGTTTTTGTGAGCTGTTGTAATGGATCATGCAACAAATCAATTGCATCCATTGCTGAAGTGAGACGCGTCAGTTATTGAAGTGGATCAACCACCTCAACAGGCCCACCAACTGTAATTGTTCATCTCCAATAATGAATTGGCCATAGCAGTCAGTTTCATTTCTATCCTAGTTTGTCACATTTCATATGGGTAACTTTGAAGTCCAGGTTCACCCCAAAATACAATGCCCTGCATCTTGTGACGGATTAGTCAGCAAGATTTTGTCAGTTTATCCCATTTACACTGGACCAATCCAAAGCCAGATTTTGACAGCTAACAAGTCCATTCAACAAGGGATATCACCCTTCCCGTCGCCTTGGCAATACAGATAGTTATATCACTTATAGCCGAGCTAGTTGTATCACTTAGAGCGTGTATCACTTTCAGGATAGTTAACTGTATCACTTGCTGACATAGGTTCTGGCTAGGCTGGTCAAAGCTAGTGCTGCTCCTATTTCTTTCCAGTACATTTCATCGGTTGTGTTGCTGTTGTGAAAAAATAAAGACATCACATTTTTTATATCAATTTGTGAAAGGTTTTAAAAAATGAAAAATAACAACAAAACTTGTATATTTATAACAGTAAAAACAGTATGCACGGAAACCATTTTTCAAATCGGCCTTTATTAAAAAAACAAAAAAAAAAACATTTTTTTTAATAAAATCGCAAATAAAATCTTAGTAATAAAATAGCATTTTACATTTTTTAATAAATATACAATTTACATATTTATAATACAGAATGGATTATAATTAAATTGTAATAGATTAATGATAAATGCTGGGATGACTATGTTTAGGTCATAAAATCATTTTTGCTTTTTAAAATAAAATAAATAGAGCTTATAACATTAGTTATAAATCATTACATGTAATGAACAACTTACAGTTTAGTGTTTTCTGTGCACTTGCGTCTATTTACTATTTCCATCTCTTCAGAGAAATCTAGAAAAGAAATAAATATTCGTAAGGAAATTATCCTAATCGTCTATTTTATAACCCGCGTTAAACGTTGTCAAATTGGTGTCTAGATTGTAGATAGTTTTATAGCCCTAGTTTCTGTAACGCGTGTCTATGTCGTAGATATCTTAATTGGTCTCATTCGTGAAGCTATGAATGTCGCACGTCAATCGAGTTGTTACATTAATGTTTAATTAATGTTTAATTATAGACACCACACAATGTTATATATGTCGTCTTGAAATGTTGCAGTTTTTTAAAAAAAATGGCAAAAAAAAAGGTAACAGATGAGACAATGTAGAGTAGACTAAATGAAAGAACAAACACGCACAATGCCAATCACACATACTCACACACGCACATTTCCAATCACACATACTCACACAATTTTGTGAAAACACACTCAAGTGCCAACCATCCAACCATCCCATGTTTTAACCCTGCCATTCGACAACCATCACGTGTGTAAAATATCCCATATGACAACCAACTTATATGTCAACCATACGACTACCAGCCCTTACAAAAACCAACCACTGTAACAACCAACAACTGTAACAACCCCCCCCCCCCGCCCCCCTATAACAACCAACCACTGAAACAACCAACTACTGCAACCAGCAACCACTCACCGTGTCAGTCAACCTTCGTAATTACTCACCCCCCCCCCCCCCTGCTCAAGTTTATAAGTTTTACAGCCTCTTTTAATAGACCTAATTAATTTTCTAAGGCTAATGCATTTTAAACAACTTTTTATAGCATCATTAAATCAACATAAAAAATATAATAATTTCTATAAATAACAATTACTACATTCTTATTATAAACTCTGTTTTCTAATTAGTTATAGAACATTTTTAAAAAATAAATTAAAAAATCACTAATTCCAAAAATAAACACGTTATTAGCGCAGCGGAAAATCCCGAAGAACTATTTATAAAAAAAAAAATTCCCGATTGATTGATCACCAGCTATGCTTTCAAGTCTTGTGATGAAAAAAATATTGATTGCGGAAGACATAGAAAACGTAGAGGGCCAACGGGAACTGTTTGATCAAGTGGTTTGTGGGGTTTTGCTGCTGTGAAATTATGGATGAGAGAAAGCGAAGTCTTCAAACAGCCCCGGTGAAAATGCTGAGTCTTCGAATTAAATAACGATTACTAGTAAACAAGACCGTCATTGCGGTTTCGGTAACGGGCTCAGGGAATGGAAATAATTTCAGCTTAAATTGATTTTTATAATATTTTAATCTGATACAAAGCTGGTCGTATTATTTATACGGGGATTATAAAGATAAAAATCAAGGTTCCTTTTAGTTGTGAAGGAAAAAACATGGCCTATGCTAGGCATCATTGACAAATATGTTGAATAAAAATGGTTTATGGGTTGGATTATCGTGATAAGGTTTCATAGGGTTAAGCCAAAAGTGGGTACATTCTAAATTTGTAACAACTTTTGAGCTTAGTTTGAGCTTAGTTGGGAAGCTATTTTCTAAACTATTATGCTATAACATTTACATTACCAATGTATTGATGTAATGTATTGAGAGACCTAAATTATATATTTGAAGAACTAAAAAATTTATTTACAAGGCAAAATAATTTCTTGCAGCCGAAGAACATAAAAAGACAAATAATTTATTGAAAGAGCCAAATAATTTATTGAAAGAGCCAAATAATTTATTCAAAGAGCCAAATAATTTGTTGAATGAGCCAAACAGTTTGTTGAAAGAGCCTAATAATTTATTGAAAGAGCCAAATAATTTATTGAAAGAGCCAAATCATGTACAGAAAGTGCCAAATATACTAATGAAAGAACGAAAATAATTTATTGAAAGAGCCAAATACATTAATGAAAGAGCCAAATAAATTTTTTGAAAGAGCTTAGTATGTTATTAAAAGAGCCAAATGATTTATAGAAAGTGACAAATATATTAATGAAAAAACCAAATAAGTTATTGAAATAGTCAAAATAGTTTGTGGGGAGAGCTAGTGCTAAATTGAAAGAGAAACTGTGACAATCTTTACTGTTTATTTCACTATTTACTAGTTAGTACTTTTATAGGCCGGAGTGCACATTTCGGATGAGTTCATCTAGTTGAAAGGTAAAGAAAAAATTGGAAAATTGGTTTGAGTTGGGAAAAGGGGCGCAACCAGAGTTTCTTCAAGGCAATTTTTACCGCCCCCCCCCCCCCCCCCCGAACGAAATGAAATTTATATAATTTATATAGAAAATATATACTTTTAACAGTGTCCGCCCCCCCGAAGAAAGTTTACCGCCCCTCCCCCCGAACGAAATGAAATTTATATAATTTATATAGAAAATATATACTTTTAACAGTGTCCGCCCCCCCGAAGAAAGTTTACCGCCCCCCCCCCCCCCCGAAGATTTCAAGTGCCCCCCCCCCCCCCCCGGAGAAAAAAGTCTGGAAGAAACACTGGGCGCAACTCACCTTCAAAAGTGTCGTGGTGTGTCTCGTGAGAAGGGGAGGACACCGATGACGTGGAGAGGTACTCGAACTCGTGAGATCCCGTGGAGGACGAGAGGTATCTGTGGCGGGAACGTGACGTCACTTCCTCTTCTGTCAGCATAGCCTGCTGGGCCGCGTCTTGCAAGTAACGCTGTAATGGTGAAAACAGAACAGAATGTAAGCAAAAAGTATCGATAAAACAGGCGCTTGGATGTAAGTAAAAAGCATCGATAAAACAGGCTGTTGGATATAAGTAAAAAGTATCGATAAAACAGGCTCTTGGATAAAAGTAAAAAGTATCGATAAAACAGGCTCTTGGATATGAGTAAAAAGTATCGATAAAACAGGCTCTTGGTTGTAAGCAAAAAGTATCGATAAAACAGGTTCTTGGATGTAAGCAAAAAGTATCGATAAAACAGGCTGATGTCTAAAATTTAATTACTCTTTGTCTTTTCTGTCTAATCTGTAACCACACTGTTGTGTGCTGACGAAGACCTTGGGTCGAAACGTCCATAGTGTTTGTAACTGTCATTAACTTGTGAGTTAACTAACACTATCTGTTTTATTACTAATTGAATTAACCTCACTGCAGCTACCAATTGTATTTATCTTTACGCTTGCTGTTCAATCGTGTGCTTTTAAAAAATTTCTATTTCTTTCCAACTCTTCAGTCTTGGCAGAAAATATCAAGGGAAGACAACAGACTGGATAGATTATCTTCTTAATTGTTTTAAATTCAACAGTAGAAAAATATTACTTTTTTTTAAGTTTTAAAATAAATAATTGCCAAATCGCTAGTTTTAATTGGATGTATTTTTTTCTGGTTAAGATGACCCTAAGGTACACGAACGTATCCAGGTCAGTTGGTCAGCTTGACCTGTCTTCTCGAATGTTCTACATGTCATGTTGTAGGCCACCGAGCCATGTGGGGAGGGGGAGGGCGAGGGGGGGTAGGGCGAGGGTGAAGATTAGGTTAAGGCTACAATACTTAGAGCTTGTAGAGTCTTATTAACACGTTTTTCTTAACTCAGCTTCGCGTTTGTGGATTTGTTTGTTTGTTGTTAAAATTGACATCGAAAATTAGCCCACTTCTGATTGCTCTACAGATCTGAAATTTGGCATGCAGGCTACTTTCGCCTAACAATTTCAGATGCAATCATAAAAACTAGCAATTAGAGACCGTAATTAGCTTAATTTAATTACGCCATAAGGACCATAACATTGAGGACATGATTTCTAAAGATACCGACAAGAGGCCTATTGACCCAGTTACTTCGGCCCCAATCGATGTGAGCGCGCTGGCCGTGATCGTATAGTGGTTAGTACTTTGCGTTGTGGCCGCGACAGCCCAGGTTCGAATCGTTGTCGCTCAAGATTTTTAGTCCGTGTATTTATAAACACTTAGTCAAGTCATACTTAATCAAGTCATTAGATAAAGTAGAAAATAAACTATATAAAAAACTTTTTTAAAAACCACGTTTTTCATGTGTAGCAACGGACTAAAAAGGAGAAAATAAAATACTTAAAAAAAACTTTTTAAAAAACCACGTTTTTCTTGTGGACTAAAAAGTAGAAAATATTTTTTTCTTTTGTGCTTCCTCGAGCTGTGCAGATTCTTGTGATGACTGACAAAAAACGTGGGTCGGGCAGATGGGTCGGGAAATTTGATGGTGAACGTACCCACGTATTTTGTCAGTCATCACAAGAATCTGCACAGCTCGAGGAAGCACAAAAGAAAAAAATATTTTCTACTTTTTAGTCCACAAGAAAAACGTGGTTTTTTAAAAAGTTTTTTTTAAGTATTTTATTTTGTTATTTATTCATCATCTGTTTAGTTTTGTATACACTTTTTTTTTGCCTAGAGAGTGGAATGTTAATTAATTTTTTTTAATCTAGGGACTGGTCTGGATTGTTTAAATTCAATTTTTTTACCCGTAGAGTGGAATGTTTACCTGTAGAATGGAATGTTTATCCGTAGAATGGAATGTTTACCTGTAGAATGGAATGTTTATCCGTAGAATGGAATGTTTACCTGTAGAATGGAATGTTTATACTTGTGACAACCCCCGTGGTTGTCCTCTAGCGCCGGGCTGTTCCTGGTTGTCCCGCTGGGTGACGTCAGCAGGCTCTGTGTGGTGGCCGGCGAGGTCAGCGCCGTGTCGCTCAGGCTGGAGGTCAAGGTCGGGGCCGGGGAGGGCGTGGCGGACTTGCTCTCCCCCGTCTGGGGCAGGTGGGCGTGGTCGCTGTCCTCGTGACCTGGGGGGAAAAAAACGGAAGTTACGTATCATATGAAGAACTGATAAGTTAACTGTCAAGCCTTGGTTATGTATGATGTTACGTATAACAAGAGGAAGGCGTGGTGGGGGGGGGGGGGGGCGTATGAATGCTAACTCCAATTATTCTGAGCTCGAACCCCGGGCAGATGAAATTCGTTGACTAGGAGAGACAACTCCTAAAGTAAACAACTGCTGTCTTACAGAGTGCTTGGTTGAGCAAAGGCTTTGGAAGAATACCCCAAAACTACAGGCTGAAGTCCGATTTAATGAGTTATACGAGGCACATCTTGACACTTAATACTTAACTATAAAGAGTAAAGTAAAGAATCCTCTTTAGACCTAGCGATCCTTGGGCAGATGAAGCAAAGTTCATATATTTCTTGACCTCGGGATATGAAGCGTTGGTGTGGTCAGCACTATGCCCAGCCGCCTTTACTTTCACTAACATGAGTTAGTACCCATCAAAGCTGGATGAACTCATGGACGTTCTACTGACGAACCCGGATTCGAACTCGAGACTTTAGGGTTAACAGCTTAGCGCTCCACCGCTTAGTCTATGGAAGAATGCCCCAAAAATGCTGGCCATAGTCAGATTCTATGAGCTCTATGTTGCATACCATTTTGACACGTAATATACAACAATGGTGGAGTTGAATTCTCATTTGTATTCATATTAAGAGCGAAGAAGAAGAAGAATGATGACGTGAAGAACAGATGGCTAGTGCCCATTGTGAGAGCTCCCCTAGAGTTGGTGGAATAGGGCGGTACAATATCTTGACAACATAGAATGGCTGACTCAGGTATATCTAGGTCGTCTAGATTTGGTAGAATAGGGCGGTACAATATCTTTACAACATAGAATGGCTGACTCAGGTATATCTAGGTCGTCTAGATTTGGTAGAATAGGGCGGTACAATATCTTTACAACATAGAATGGCTGACTCAGGTATATCTAGGTCGTCTAGATTTGGTAGAATAGGGCGGTACAATATCTTGACAACATAGAATGGCTGACTCAGGTATATCTAGGTCGTCTAGATTTGGTAGAATAGGGCGGTACAATATCTTTACAACATAGAATGGCTGACTCAGGTATATCTAGGTCGTCTAGATTTGGTAGAATAGGGCGGTACAATATCTTGACAACATAGAATGGCTGACTCAGATATCTAAGTCGTCTGGATTTGGTATAATAGGACGGTACAAGATCTTGACAACATAGAGTAGCTGACTCAGATATATCTAACTCGTCTAGATTTGGTATAATAGGACGGTACAATGTCTTGACAACATAGAGTGGCTAACTGAGATACATCTAATTATTTATGCATTAAGACAGTCAAGGAACTTCCTACTGGCAAGTTCACTCGTGTAATTGTTGACACTTTAAGTGTGGCTGGAGTAACGTATATTGGACATGATGAAAATCCCGAACTGGAAGGGTTAATGTAGATCTGACTTCGTTAGGCAAGGGTTAACAGATTGTCAATTTGTTGAAAGTGGAGTTAAAATATGAGTCACAGCTAGGCTGAAACTAAATAATAATTCACAATTGGTTCGCTAGTTTACTTTAGGGGAGGGGGAGTGTCTAAATTTTGTGATAATATGCTACGAAGGGAAGGGGAAGGTCGAGAAAATGAAGCAATGAAGTGGGGGGGGGGGGGGGGGAGGAGGATAAATTTTGTAAGGACGTAGAGCTTATTTTTGTGTGACGATCTGTGACGAAAAGGGAAGGGCAGGTTTGCTTGGCACGCACTCTAGTCGACAACGATTACAACACACAGTTCTGTGATATGGGACATAAACCTTCAAATATTATAATGGCAGGCTGTAGTTTGGTATTAAACACAAGCTGTACATTGACCATTGTAAGGCCAGAAAACCCTCCCGACTGTGATTATCTCCGGGGGGGGAGGAGGGGGGGGGGGGTTTGACACACGCGCCACTAGCTAATTTACAGGAGGGATGAAAATAACAAGAGTTAAGTACCCTTGTCATTTCCGGGAAGTAACTCCTACCCATGATCACGCCCTATATTCTCCCCCCCCCCCCACCCCACCCCCACTCCCTCCCCCACCCCTGTCGTAAATTGAGAATGGTCTGGGTCAGATACCAGGCTATGATTTTTTCAGAAAGGGGAGATAACAAAAGAAGAACTTTTCCAGGCTTATCTCCCCTTTCCCCTTGTTTCCAACGCGGTGTCAGAAACTGAAGTACAACACTCTGATGACGTAACAACCGGTCGACAATAAACCGAACCGGTACCAGCACTGCCGGTCGACTAGCACTGCTGGTTGAATTTAAATCGAGCCGGCACCAGCACTGCCGGTCGACTATGAGCCGGGTCTATACTAGTACTGCCGGTTGAATTTAAACCGAGCCGGTGCCAGCGCTACCGGTCGATGATTTGCCGGCAACTAATGCTCTTTGGGACTCAGGAAACTTTAATCATGTTTGCGGTAACGTAATGACAAATGGTTGTCAGCGGGAGCCAGAAATAATAGAAGTGGTCAGTTGTATACAGTAGTGCTAGACATGGCCACAAATATAATACAAGCGGTCAGTTTTATACAGTAATGCTAGTCTTGGCCACAAATATAATAGAAGTGGTCAGTTGTATACAGTAGTACTAGACTGGGCCACACAGAATATAGAAGCGGTCAGTTGTATACAGTAGTGCTAGACTTGTCCGCACAGAAAATAGAAGAGGTCAGTTTTATACAGTAGTACTAGACTGGGCCGCATAGAATATAGAAGCGGTCAGTTTTTTTACTGTAATACTGAACTTAGCTGAGCCGTAAATATAATAGGCGTAAGTCTGTTGTATAACGTCTCATAGAACTGGGCCTCATAGTAATAGAGACTTTACTAAAAGCGCTTTCTGTGTGGTTTTCTATGTTTGTAATCATCGTGCATAAACAGGAAATATAACACTTGATACTTTAGACGGTGAGATTAGCTAAACCTCTACCACCAAACACCCCAACAAATCCTTTACCATAAAACCTCTACCACTAAACCTCTACCACCAAACCTCTACCACCAAACCTCTACCACCAAACCTCTACCACCAAACACCCCAAACAAATCCTTTACCCTAAAACCTCTGCTACTAAACCTCTACCACCAAACCTCTACCACCAAACCTCTACCACCAAACACCCCAACAAATCCTTTACCATAAAACCTCTACTACTAAACCTCTACCACCAAACCTCTACCACCAAACACCCCAAGAAATCATTTACCATAAATCCTCTACTACTAAACCTCTACCATCAAACTTCTACCACCAATCCTCTACCACTAAGCCTCTACCACCAAACTTCTACCACCAATCCTCTACCACTAAGCCTCTACCACCAAACCTCTACCACCAATCCTCTACCACTAAGCCTCTACCACCAAACCTCTACCACCAATCCTCTACCACTAAGCCTCTACCACTTGACCTCTACCACCAAACCACTACCACCACACCATTAAAAACAAACACCCCAACTAATCCTTTACCACAAAACCTCTACCACCAAACACCCCAACCAAACCTCTACCACCAACCTCTATCCCTCAACATCCATCTGCTTAATACTTCAATAAAAAAAACCCAACTCATACCAAGAAATTAAATCTTCTTAAGCAGATTACAAAATCAACCTGAACGTATAACCCCCTCATCAAGTTACACTAGCAAGAAAGATGTGCCCTACTAACAGGGTAATATTATCCCCTAGTGGGGATTTTCTCGTACGTCCGCACCATTATCGAGTCCGCTTAAATTCTCTCCCCTGAATACATAATATGAGCGGACTCGTATCTAATTTTATTGCTCGGTAATTAGAGCTACCCACCGTTTCAAATGTTTCTTTGTTCAAACTAATTAGGATTTAAAAAAAAAAACTCAAAAAAGAATGTTGTTAATTAAAACAAGATAATACGTTTCTTTTTAAAATGGGTTTTTAGGTTTTTAAAGTTTGATATTAGATGAAAGCCAACATAATTATTTCATCATCAATTTTGAAGAGATTTGTATTTTATTTACGCAGCGCTTTCCACTAATGTAAAAACGTTTCTTTAAAAATGATTCTTATGTGTTTCTTTCTGATCTTCATCTATTGAACAAGGGAAAAATTATAAACATGTGTTACAAAAAAATGAAAAAAAGTAAAATTCAATTTGCTATCTTTTAATGTACGCATATATATATATATATATATATATATATATATATATATATATATATATATATATATATATATATACATACATACATGTATATATATATATATATACATATACATACATACATGTATATATATATATATGTAAATATATATACATATATATATATATATATATATATATATATATATATATATATATATATATATATATATATATATGTATATACATATATATGTATATACATATATGTACATACATATATGTATATATATATATATATATATATATATATATATATATATATAAAGTATAGTGTATGTAAGTGTGTGCGCCAGAATATACCGGTCTACGTATGACGGCAAGACGTAATACTATTTCCTGATTCTTGTTTAGAACCTTGTTGTTAGTACCGGCATACAAGTCTGTGTATACAATCATATCTCCCTCTCTACCCCCTCCCCCCACCATCTCCATCAAACACGCACCAAAATACAATACCCCGCGCACGTGACCCAAGTCACGTGACAGAACCAAAATGGCACCATCCCTAGATTGGTCTAGATCTGCCTGGGCATAAACCACACTCGACTGTTCTATTGTCGTGTCGGGTCGTAGGTCATGTGAGCTTTTTTTCTTTCATCACTGGCTGCAGCCATAGATTCTATTGTAGCAGACCAAAGCTGTTACACTGGCTGCAGCCATAGATTCTATTGTAGCAGACCAAAGCTGTTACACTGGCTGCAGCCATAGATTCTATTGTAGCAGACCAAAGCTGTTACACTGGCTGCAGCCATAGATTCTATTGTAGCACACCAACGCTGATATGGCTGCGGCCATACATTCTATTGTAGCAGGCCAACGGTCATACACTGGCTGCAGCCATAGATTCTATTGTATCAGACCAACGCTAAAACATTGGCTACAGCCATAGATTATATTGTAGCAGACCAACGGTCAAACACTGGCTGCAGCCATACATTTTATTGTAGCAGACCAAGATTGATATGGCTGCAGCTATAGATCATATTTTTGCAGACCAACGCTGATACACTGGCTGCAGCTATAGATCATATTTTTGCAAACCTACGCTGATACACTGGCTGCAGCTATAGATCATATTTTTGCAGACCTACGCTGATACTCTGGCTGCAGCTATAGATCATATTTTTGCAGACCTACGCTGATACTCTGGCTGCAGCTATAATTCAATGGTTACTGTTGATCCCCAGATGGATATGAACAAAGTGAGCTGCTTGGATGTTGTTTGTAATTCAATAGCACAGCTCTACTTATATTGTGGTAGAAGGCAACATTAAAAAAAAAAACATAAATAACCCAAAGCGAGCGAGTTTTGACGACAGAAGTAATGATGATAAGAAGAAAGTAAACGTTGATGGTACTGTGTAATGCGGAGGGGCGGGGTGAGGTGACTAGATGGGCGAGGGGTGTGGTTTTGGTGAGGCAAAAGACCACACCATCTCCAACCATCAATCCAACTAACCAATCAAACATACTTCTGTCCCTCCATCTATCAATCTATCCATCAACCCACCCACACACCCGTGGGCCCATCCTTCCATCCTCTCAACCTTCAAATTTCTGTATTAATGTTAATTACAAAAACAATGATTTAATAACAATGTTGATAATTACATGTCATGTAGGCTACTATGAACAGTTCGGGTATTTATATTTTGTGTCATTAATCCGATCAAATTTGTTACCCTTAAAAAATTCAAAACAACGAAATTCAACTGTTAGATTATTCTTAATTACGATACATGGCAGACTCTATATATATTGGGTACGAAAAAAAAAAAAATGATGAATTACGATAACTTTAAATTTGATATAAAATGACCCAGATTAGCCAAAACTAACCAATTAAAAAATACCTAACAACTAATTCGAACTTTATGTTATTCCTTTTTACGATACTAAACGATCTGATATAGCATGGTCCAGCTTAGTACAAGGTAAACATTTAAAAAAACCCACCGAAATCAAACTGTTACGTTACTCCTTGTTACAATGCCTGGCCTAGCTAGATCCACAGTTACCCAAAAAAAAAAATACCGAACACCGAAATGAACTTACTACGATACCTAGCGGTCCCAAACAGCAGGGCACAGCCATAGATTCTATTGTATCAGACCAACGCGGAACTTTTACGTTATTCATTATTACTATACTTAGCGATCTGATAAAGCATTACCAAGTCTAGTCCACAGTTACTATTAAAAAAAACAACAACCTAAAAACACCGAAATGGAACTTGTAGTTCCAGTCTCTAAACCCCCACTCACGCGTGCCAGGCGACCCCTCTAAACTATTTAAAAGCCTGCAATCCCGAGAAGCTGTATCTGCTAATCCTTTTATCCCTATTCGGTTCCATTTCAGGGGGCTGCGCAGATCCTCCAGATTTATTTCACGACCCCCCCCACCCCATTCTATTGAGAAACACGGTCCAGCTTGCATGTACTCTGGACATTTTCAAGAAAAAAAAAATTAAATCCCCTCTCCCTCCCCCACCACCAACATTGGAAACCGATAAGGCGGATGTACGGAAAGCAAGTGATATCGACTATAAAAAAAAATTCCGGTGCCGCGAAAATCTGGACTAGGCCCGGATCTGATTCCTATCAGTAGCGCTAAAGTCTGAGTGGGAAAGTAATTTTAGCAAGACCGGATGTGAGTGGAGGGAAAATATCAACGTCTTCGGCTGGCGGATGTGTTATACTGCCGGCTGAGGCTGCCGGACATGTTATACTGCCGGCTAAGGCTGCCGGAAATGTTACACTGCCGGCGATTTTAAAAAAGTAGTAAGGAAAAAAAGTAACGGCACTCTACGTATGTTGGGGAATTATTATACAGGAAAAATACTTTAAAACAATGTCAGATACAGTTTTTTTTTTTAAATTTGGGTTAGTAGAAGATTAAAATGTAAAAAAAAAATAGAAAGTTTCATTTAAGACGTGACGGTTCATATAGGGCTGGTAAGTAGGTCACCAACCAGTTCTATGGCTCATGCAGGTTTTATTGAGCCGTAGAACTGGTTGGTGGCCTACTTACCAACTCTATAGCAGACGTAACGGTTCATATAGCAGACGTAACGATTCATATAACAGACGTAACGGTTCTTATAACAGACGTAACGGTTCATATAACAGACGTAACGGTTCATATAACAGACGTGACGATTAATATAGCAGAGGTAACGATTCATCTAAACTTATAGAAAAAAACAATAAAAGCTAGCATTGGCTTCTATAGAATCTATTTGATGCACAAAAAGACACTAGTCCGTGCTGGGTAGTGTGCACGTGTAATTAGAGATGAGTACTGACCCACTCTAAATGCATCGAGACACCAACAAAGGTTACTATAACAAACTCTTCCACCCCCGGGATCGGTCTCCCCTGGGGTATCGGGTTTTCCCCGCCACCAACACAGACACAGTTCAATGCCCACAACCAAAGGCAGTCTTCAGCAGTAAGTGATTAGTAGTTGATGGTGTGCGGCGCGACAAGCAACATAGTCAGGACTCATGCACTGGCGTACGTGTCCGTCTAATGTACTGACGTGTGTGTCCGTCGAGTGTCCTGATGTGCAATGTATCTATAATATGTCCAGAAATCATGCCCTGATTAACATGCCCTGATTACCATGCCCATCTAATACTCTAATATACCTTGACCATGTAAGTATAGTACAGTTTCCCTTTCAAACCTGACGGCCTATGGGGCAAGTGAAGTAGAGTTCACTTGTGTCTGTGTGGTCAGCACTATGCCCAGCCGCCTTTACTTTCCCTAACGTGAGTTGGGTGGACTCAGGGACGGTCTACTGACTTGAACCCGGATTCGAACTCGAGACTAACGGGCTAGCAGTCCAGCTCTCTACCGCTAGACCACTCCGTCCCTTGACCATGTAATTGCCCTAAAATTCATGCCCTGATTATCCAAGCATCATGCTCATGTTTCAACACTTAGCTTCTTGGTGCCAGAAATCAATCAAGCGGTTATAAACGAGGGCACTAAGCCTAGAATAGATACCACCCTTCCCAGTCTTAAAATCCTATACCGTTTGTTAACCCCCAAGTTTCACAACTTATATTATGAGTGTATAGAGTACAAATGCGGTATGCCCAAAAAACATAATCTCGAGAAAAATGACTTTAAAAAATCTCATTCAGAAATTAAAATAGTGAAAAATAAATTAAAATAGTGAAAAATATTATGTTTAAACATTCATAAAATATTTGCATTCTACTTTTCTGACATTGTACGTGAGTGTTTTTGTAGCTTGTATTATTGACAATTTAAGTAGAAATGTACATCTATTTCACAAAAAGTGGACATACTGCATTTGTCATCTATACCGTCGATTACACACACGCGACGCAACATGTACACAAACGTGACACAACATGAACACAAACGTGACACAACATGAACACAAACGTGACACAACATGAACACAAACGTGACACAACATGAACACAAACGTGACGCAACATGAACACATACATGACACAACATGAACACATACGTGAACAACAACATGAACACACACATGACACAACATGAACACATACGTGACACAACATGAACACAAACGTGACACAACAAAATGTACACACACATGACACAACATGAACACATACGTGAACAACAACATGAACACACACATGACACAACATGAACACATACGTGAACAACAACATGAACACACACATGACACAACATGAACACATACGTGAACAACAACATGAACACACACATGACACAACATGAACACATACGTGACACAACATGAACACAAACGTGACACAACATGAACACAAACGTGACACAACATGAACACAAACGTGACACAACATGAACACAAACGTGACACAACATGAACACAAACGTGACACAACATGAACACACACGTGACACAACACATGTACACACACGTGACACAACATGAACACAAACGTGACACAACATGAACACAAACGTGACACAACAAAATGTACACACACATGACACAACATGAACACATACGTGAACAATAACATGAACACATACATGACACAACATGAACACATACGTGAACAATAACATGAACACACACATGACATAACATGAACACATACATGACACAACATGAACACAAACGTGACACAACAAAATGTACACACGTGGCACAACATGAACACAAACGTGATAGAACATGAACACACACATGACACAACAAAATGTACACACACGTGACACAAGAAAATATCGTACACATTGACACAACACATGTACACACAGGTAACACAGTGTGCTACTCACACATCTCGTCCTCCGAGTCCCACGACTCTATGTCGGACGGTATACTCAGCAACTCAGCGTTACCCTCGGCGTACTTGTTGTAGCTCTTGATGCGGGTCGCCCACGTGACGTTGTCGCCCTTGACCGTGTTCTTCAGCCGGCGTCTGGCGTTGGCGAACCAGTTGCTGACCTGGGGAACACAGGTAGGTAAAGGTCAGGATCAGGGGGTCGGGTTAGAGGTGAGTAAAGGTCAGGGTCAGTGTCGGGTTAGAGGTGAGTAAAGGTCAGGGTCGGGTTAGAAAAGAGGTAGGGTAAAGGTCAGGGTCGGGTTAGAGAAGAGTAAAGGTCAGGGTCAGGGTCGGGTTAGAGAAGAGTAAAGGTCAGGGTCAGGGTCGGGTTAGAGAAGAGTAAAGGTCTGGGTCAGGGTCGGGTTAGAGAAGAGTAAAGGTCAGGGTCGGGGTCGGGTTAGGGAAGAGTTAAGGTCAGGGGTCGGGTAAGAGAAGAGTGAAGGTCAGGGTCGGGTTAGAGAAGAGTAAAGGTCAGGGTCAGGTTAGATGTGAGTAAAGGTCAGGGTCAGGGTCGGGTTAGAGAAGAGTAAAGGTCAGGGTCGGGGTCGGGTTAGGGAAGAGTAAAGGTCAGAGTCGGGTTAGAGGTGAGTAAGGTCAGTGTCGGTTAGAGAAGAGGTAGGTAAAGGTTAGGGTCAGGATCGGGTTAGTGAAGAGGTAGGTAAACTGTTAGGATGTTTGGAAAATATACTTTTGTGACTTAAAAATTGATGTATTTGAGACTTTAAGGAAGATGTGCTTAATACGTTAAGGAAAGTGCTTTTGGCTTTAGGTAATATTTTCTCGAAAGTGGTGTTGACTTAATGTAAGATGTGCTTGAAGGAAGATTTGCATGTGGAGTTTGAGAAAGATATGTTTGTGACATAAACATATGTGCTTGAGAAGCTCGGGAAAGAATTCCTTGATGTGTTTTATGCAAAAATGTACTTTTGACAAACAGAAAAGATGTGTTTTTGACAAAAGAAAAGATGTCCTTTTGAATTAGGTTAGATGTAATTTAAACTAAAGAAAGATGTCATTGCGCCTATCCAGTTTTGTGAAAAAAGTTGAACAATTTGCTACCGAGTTTAGAGGAGCGTGAACTATACGAAAGATGTTTCTCTAAAATACAAATAACGTTAAGCTTTAAACAAATTAACTATGCTTGATAAGAAAAATATTGATTTTTGTACTTCTCTCAGATAATTTTTAAATACTTTCTGTTAAAGGCAGCAATAAGTTTCCGCTACGATTCATTGAACACAATAGCTCACATGTTAAGCCGAGTACAATACCGCAAACAATACGCAGTGAGTAGTAAAACAAAACGATGTGATCAATACATTAACAATACACTACCCCCGCCCCACCCCAAGTCCCGCATGTGGGGACCGGATAACTACTCACTCGTGCTAATTGCTTGCACAAGAATTAGACAAATCCCCCAGCGGCGCGCGAACACTAATGACGCCGCACCCAAATCAAATTCCGCGCCAAATTTGCTAGCCGGTAAATGTATGTATCGAGCGAGCAAAAAAACCCTCAACACATAAAAAAACAAAACTATTTTATTACACCGAAACGCACCGAAAACATTTTGTCTTAGTGGCGCCGTGCAATGACCCCCACAGTCAGAGCGTATCGTATTCAAGCAATCAATGTTTGTTCCATCGCTGATCAATTAATTATCGGGATCGATCATCGATCTCAAGTCTCCGGCACGTACTGGGTAATCCCCCACAGGAAACCCTGATGTGGCATTAAGTACTGGTACCCCCAGTAATGCCTTGTCATGTTTGCCTGTTATTGGTAATGACTAGAATTACAGCGTCCAAGTGCTCGCTATTTCAATATTTTGTTCCAAGTCAGAGTAACTCCAGCTATAAAACAGCTTGCAACATTGCACCGTTTTTATTTTAAAACATCTTTAAACACTGAAGCAGGCACAACATTGTTTAAGTTAAATTATGAGGCTCAAATTCGTTTAAAAAAATACAATTAAACCTGTGAACATGTCAATTATGTCCTTGTTTTAAAAAGTCGTATTTCAGCATTCCAGTTTTCAGGTAATCGACCTTGTTATATAATGTCAAGTATTCGACTATTGTTATATAATGTCAAGTATTCGGGGACAGGAATAATGGTCGAACCCTTTGTCAGATTTATGAACAGACAGGAATAATGGTCGAACTCTTTGTCAGATTTATGAACAGACAGGAATAATGGTCGAACCCTTCGTCAGACTTATGTACGGACATGAATAACGGTCGAACCCTTTGTCAGATTTATGAACAGATAGGAATAATGGTCGAACCCTTCGTCATACTTATGTACGAACAGGAATAAAGGTCGAACACTTCGTGATACTTATGTTCGAACAGGAATAATGGTCGAACCCTTCGTCATACTTATGTACGGACAGGAATAAATGTCGAACCCTTTGTCAGATTTATGAACAGACAGGAATAATGGTCGAACCCTTTGTCAGACTTATGTACGGACAGGAATTAGGGTCAGAACCAATGCTCCAATGAGATAAATCAGTCAGTTATAAAACACAAAACAGACAATACAATCTCGATTCTAGTCCAGTTGCTGATTCACCTCATAGGAATTTCCTTGCGACGAACAAATCTTGAACAAACACGAGATGATAAAATTGTGTACACGTCACACACGTACACAGAGACACAAAAGATGTACACACCGGTTTATTAAGACAACCCTTCAGGAGTAAGTCTGTACACCAATTCTAAAAAATTAATCTTACAGCAAACAAAGATAAGACACATTTTTGTGACGTTCGGAACATTTTTCCGTCGTTTCTTTTATCAAGACTTAAATAGAATTAGATAATTACATGTTTTTTTTTTAAAAAAGAAGATAGTAAAAGCGTTAAGAATTTATCTCTTGCGTTAAGTGGGTAGCGGACATGCTTTCACGTTGAACTAGGTCTAAGGGTAAGTCAGGAGCTCATGCACTCAAAGGGGAAAGTGTGACGGCGTTTGAAGATAAAACATTCTGGGACAATGTCATGCACAAGAGGAATGAATGGGGCAGAGGTGTAGCGGGGGGGGGGGGGGGGGGTTCATATGTCCCCGGGCGCCGACCCAATGGGCGCCAAAATAAGCTAATTTTAGCTGCTATTTTGAACTATAAATATAAAAAAAATATATGGGGGTGGGCGCCAAATTGAAAGTTTGTTCCCGGGCGCCGGGAGGGGTCGCTACGCCTCTGAGTCTGTCAAAAGTGGAATGGAGTGGCCTAGCTTCAAAAGAGAAGTGTCTAAAACAAGTCAAACGTCTAGAGAAATAGTGATGTTTTACTGTATGCGAGATCTGTGGTACAGAGTCGCATATCGATTCCTGCGCGATTTAACGAGATTACAATTTCAATCACGACTCGTTAAGTCATGACTTCAGCTTCACAACCCATTAAATCTTGACTTTGTGGTCTCAGTCACAAGTCATTAACCCTTGACTTCTGTCACCTAAAAACGCATCAGACTAAGAGTCGGCTTAGTCAGACTAATCCTAAACTGTCAGCGTAACTCTAACGTAACTAAAACCTGAGCAAGTCTGTATCACCCCAGCGGAACTAAACCTTTAAGGATTTCCAAATATCCAATATAGGACAAAATGTCGGTATAGGACAAAATGTCGATATAGGACAAAATGTCGATATAGGACAAAATGTCGATATAGGACAAAATGTCGATTTAAGACAAAATGTCGATAAAAGACAAAATGTCGGTATAGGACAAAATGTCGATACAGGACAAAATGTCGATATAGGACAAAATGTCGATACAGGACAAAATGTCGATATAGGACAAAATGTCGATATAGGACAAAATGTCGATTTAAGACAAAATGTCGATACAGGACAAAATGTCGATATAGGACAAAATGTCGATACAGGACAAAATGTCGATATAGGACAAAATGTTGATATGACATAATGTCGATACAGGACAAAATGTCGAAAGCATGTTGATTGGAGCAACAAGGAAACCAAAACACCAATTATTTTCTTTTCGATACACTCTGGTCCACTATATGTTTACGCGAGTACTGTCTCAGTCTTTTAGAGTAAGTTAAATGCTACATTTAAATTATATTACAGTCCAGTGAAGCTCTATCTTTAAATGTGACGCTCTACAAGTAAATTAAATTAAAAAAAAACAACATTCCATTCATACTGGAAGCGACATTACAATAATGCTTGACATTTATGTGCTTCACACGAAAACTACATTGGATCTGTAACTTGGCATTAGAATAATAATCAATCTTTAAACTTGGTATTTTAATCATAAAAGAATAAACCAGTCATCTTTTATGAACAAACTTCATACAATACAATTGTTTCATGTATTTGTTACGATCAAATTTCGTTCATTTTTTTTTATTTCATACATAAATGCAATACATCAAATATAATTTTTAACAACTTTTTTACATAAAGCCAATGTTATTTTTTATTCATTCCTAATTAGGTTAAAATAATTCCATCTAGTTTTGTGTTTCCATTTTTTTTGATACAGAGAAAATTCATTTCCTAGATAAACATTGGAAATCATAATTAAAAATCAGTACCGAAAAGTGGAGTAACCAACGGCAAACCCTACAAATGCCGTTTCTAAGATTATGTTTACACTGGCTGTCGGTAGTAATGGTTACTAATGTAGTCTAAACACCGAAATCGATTGCTTCCCATTTCTGACCGACGCACACCATAATGGGACCCAAACACAAATTTACACTGGGAAGAGTTGGGGAGGAATGACGTTATGAAAATAACCAAACCGAGTTTGATTTTTTGAAAATGTATCGACTCAAGATAAAGTTTTTTTTATGTAGGATAACCATGAATGTGACTTTATTTACAATAAAGATACGGCAAGAGAAAAACAAATTGGGGACGGAAAACAGTTTTTATGTTAGGATGTGGTTCAGACGAGAAGAAGGAATAGGGTGGTGCGTGGAAGCTGTGATGGATGTGTGTGACAGTCTGGGGAGTGTGTGTGTGTGTGTGTGTGTGTGTAAAGGGGGGGGGTTAGAGGACACGACTCCAGGTCGTATTCATAAATACCTCATGACTTCTCTAGTAACTTAAAAAATGTAGTGTAGTTTGCAGAGAGATTGGAGAGAATTGGGTAGTAAAAATTTAAAAAAAAGAGGATCTATGTGGGTAGAGATTCATTACACACACGTGAGGTGGATAAAAGACGTGTCATACACCCACCTGTGTCATACACCCACCTGTGTCATACACCCACCTGTCATACACCCACCTGTGTCATACACCCACCTGTCATAAACCCACCTGTCATACACCCACCTGTGTCATACACCCACCTGTTATACACCCACCTGTCATACACCCACCTGTGTCATACACCCACCTGTGTCATGCACACACCTGTGTCATGCACCCACCTGTGTCATACACCCACCTGTGTCATACACCCACCTGTGTCATACAACCACCTGTGTCATACAACCACCTGTGTCATACAACCACCTGTGTCATACAACCACCTGTGTCATACACCCATCTGTGTCATACACCCCCACATGTTATACACCCACCTGTGTCATACAACCACCTGTGTCATACACCCACCTGTCGTACCCCCTACCGCCATACACCCAACTGCCATACACCCACCTGTTATACACCCCCTACCACAATACACCCACCTGTGTCATACACCCACCTGTGTCATACACCCACCTGTGTCATACACCCACCTGTGTCATACACCCACCTGTCGTACCCCCTACCGCCATACACCCAACTGCCATACACCCACCTGTCATACACCCACCTGTCGTACCCCCTACCGCCATACACCCACCTGCCATATACCCACACGTGTCAAACACCCCCACATGTCAAACACCCCCACATGTCATACACCCCCACATGTTATACACCCACCTGTCATACACCCACCTGTGTCATACACCCACCTGTGTCATACACCCACCTGTCATACCCCCTACCACCATACACCCACCTGCCATATACCCACACGTGTCAAACACCCCCACATGTCAAACACCCCCACATGTCATACACCCCCACATGTTATACACCCACCTGTCATACACCCACCTGTGTCATACGCCCACCTGTGTCATACGCCCACCTGTGTCATACACCCACCTGTGTCATACACCCACCTGTGTCATACACCCACCTGTGTCATACACCCACCTGTATCATACACCCACCTGTGTCATACACCCCCTAACGCCACACACCCACCTGTGTCATACACCCTACCACCACACACCCACCTGTGCCCTACACCCACCTGTGCCATACACCCCCTACCGCCACACACCCACCTGTGTCATGGACATGCGACTCATCTTGACCAGTTCCAGCTTGTCCAGCTTGGATGGGTAGGGGTTCTCTCTGTGACTGACCAGCCACATCTTGAGAGGTCTGGTCATATCCTGGAGAGTCTGGCGCTTGTGTCTGGTCTTCTCTGGCAGGAACTTCCGACTGAAAGGAACAACAAAATATTTTTTTAATCAAGCACTTTAATTATATTTCTTGCTCATTAAGACAGTCGTTGTTTTTTAACTTTCTTCCCCCACATGCAATTATAAGTCGTGCATATCTAACAACTGCAAAAGGTCTGCATGTTGTATAATATGTATAAAAAAACTGTTTTTTAGCTTCTTAAAAGAAAGTTAACGTGGCTACACTTGGGTATGCAGAGTTAAAAATACACGTCAATAGTCTAGAGAAAAAGTGATATAAGGCTAAACATGCTAAGGAGATGTGTATAGAGATTAGCTTAAGAGCAAGAACATGTGTTTAGTTAAAGAAAATTGTGGCATTTGACGAATTAAGGCAGACATAGAAAAGTGGTTTTTCAATTTTAAAACTCTACTTATATAAACTATATCACGAACAGGATAAAAGAATGAGAAATGTGTACGTGTTTTGTAAATTTGTTATACAGGTGCACTTAAAGAACTATGCACTAGATTGACTAGAGACATAGAAACTAAAAGGTGGTTTTTAGATAATGTATACGAAGAAATAAATCAACCCGGTTGTTTTGAAAACGTACATTGGAATTTAGATTTGTAAACTTTAATTCAGATGGTATATTTTTAAAAGTACATTGGAGTTTGAATGGTTTGTACAGTTAAAGTCAGATGCTATTTAGATGGATCGTAGACCTAGTCGGGTGATATGACGTAATTCACTATTTCAGGTTCCCAAAATCGTTCTAAACAATAGCAAATGGGCGCATGCAAAATATCAAATACACAAACGCGTTAGCTGCTAAAAATAAAGATAATCGTTCACTTTAAAATACATACACATAATCCCTTCATATAACTTTCTCCTATGCCGCATCTAAATGACCGTTTCTCCGATTTCTTGTACTTAAAATGGGACGGTATGGTTCAATCGTAAGAACATTACTTCTAACCCGAAAGTCTCGAGTTCGAATCTCGAGGTCAGGCCCGAATGAAAATTTTGAGTCCACCCAGCTGTGATCGGTACCTGGCTTAAGTTAGGGAAAACTGTCTACGCTACCCTTCATTTGCCGAGGTCACTGAAATAAAAACTCTACTTCATCTATCCCAAGGACCGCCTGGTTCGCAAAGGTACAACTTTTTTTCTAGTTTTACTTAAATCTCATCATGTTCCTTAACAGAGATGAAGCTTTCATCCATTTTTGTTTCACCTAGGTTGCTGACAAAATAAACTTTTGTAAATATTTTTTTTTTTTTTTTGCGCAGTAAACGTTTCTTGTAGAACTTCACCGCTTTACGGCGCTTGAAGTGGCTGGAAACCAATTTAAAGCCAACCCTCGCTTGACAGTTGTTGTAGGGCTATCAGGAACTGCTGGAGCTGCCCATCACAATTACCCCCCCCCCCCCCACCCCCCGGGCTGGTTTTGCGGTGAAGGTTGTTGCGACACGGGATTTAAAAAAAAATTAAAAACAAAATATCGGTTAGTTAGAACAATGAGGCCGCGTTTTGCAGGAAAAACAATTCAGAAAATGTGAAATACTTTCTGTTTTTACGATAAAATTAAGTTATTTAACACAATTTATGTTCTTTAAAATAAACTATCAGTGTGATATGTTGCAATATTTTCTGTTTTTATAAACTTACAGGTAACTAGCTAAGGAATGCTAAAATAACAAGATAAGGGGTAAAAATATTCTTATTTATTACTGTCTCGCATACGAAGTATAGAGGAAGTATTGTAATCGTGCAAAAAATCGAAATCGAGATTTTCAGAAAACGCCAAATAAGAACCTAGCTAGCTAAGCTAAAGTAAAACCTATAACGGCCTAAATTAGATCTAGCTAGCCACGCTAAATTAGAAACTATAACAGCTAAATAATAACCTCGCTAGCCAAGCTAAATTAGAAACAACACTATCTGGCAAGGTGGTTAGGATCTAAACAACACCATCTGACAAAACGGTTAGGATCTAAACAACACTATCTGGCAAGGTGGTTAGGATCTAAACAACATTATCTGGCAAAGTGGTTAGGATCTAAACAACATTATCTGGCAAGGTGGTTAGGATCTAAACAACATTATCTGGCAAGGTGGTTAGGATCTAAACAACACAATCTGGCAAGGTGGTTAGGATCTAAACAACACCATCTTGCAAGGTGGTTAGGATCTAAATAACATTATCTGGCAAAGTGGTTAGGATCTAAACAACACTATCTGGCAAGGTGGTTAGGATCTAAACAACACCATCTGGCAAGGTGGTTAGGATCTAAACAACACCATCTGACAAGGTGGTTAGGATCTAAACAACACCATCTGGCAAGGTGGTTAGGATCTAAACAACACCATCTGGCAAGGTGGTTAGGATCTAAACAACATTATCTGGCAAGGTGGTTAGGATCTAAACAACATTATCTGGCAAGGTGGTTAGGATCTAAACAACATTATCTGGCAAGGTGGTTAGGATCTAAACAACACAATCTGACAAGGTGGTTAGGATCTAAACAACACCATCTGGCAAGGTGGTTAGGATCTAAACAACACCATCTGGCAAGGTGGTTAGGATCTAAACAACATTATCTGGCAAGGTGGTTAGGATCTAAACAACATTATCTGGCAAGGTGGTTAGGATCTAAACAACATTATCTGGCAAGGTGGTTAGGATCTAAACAACACAATCTGGCAAGGTGGTTAGGATCTAAACAACACCATCTTGCAAGGTGGTTAGGATCTAAATAACATTATCTGGCAAAGTGGTTAGGATCTAAACAACACTATCTGGCAAGGTGGTTAGGATCTAAACAACACCATCTGGCAAGGTGGTTAGGATCTAAACAACACCATCTGACAAGGTGGTTAGGATCTAAACAACACCATCTGGCAAGGTGGTTAGGATCTAAACAACACCATCTGGCAAGGTGGTTAGGATCTAAACAACATTATCTGGCAAGGTGGTTAGGATCTAAAAAACATTATCTGGCAAGGTGGTTAGGATCTAAACAACACTATCTGGCAAGGTGGTTAGGATCTAAACAACACTATCTGGCAAGGTGGTTAGCATCTAAATAACATTATACTGGCAAGGTGGTTAAAAGCGAACTTTAAACTAAAAATCTGTCACGGTGGTTGTAAAACTAAAGCTGGTTAAAAAAAAAACTGGATTTAAAAGTGCAGAGAATCAAAAGAATGAACAGCTTAATGGCTGGGGTAGACAGTAAATAGACACATTATTCATTTTTATCCGGCTAACGAGGGTGTGCAGGAAAAGGGGGAGGGGGGGGGGGAGGGGAGGGGGGATGGAGGAAAGGATTACAGAGAAGTCAGGTAAATTACAAAGACGAAAATAGCGGCCTTCACCTTGGTTGAATTTTAATACATGACAATTTTGTATTATTTAGCAGGGGGTGTAGAGGCTCTCTTTTAGCATTTATTTAGGTCCTAATTGAGCGTTGATATAAAGGTTCTTATTTAGCGTATATATAAAAGTTCTAATTTAGCGTTTATAAAGGTTCTAATTTATCGTTTATAAAGGTTCTAATTTAGCGTTTATAAAGGTTCTAATTTAGCCTTTATATAAAGGTGCTAATTTAGCGTTTATATAAAGGTTCTAATTTAGCGTTGATATAAAGGTTCTAATTTAGCATGGACATGGCTGATATGATTTAGCGTTTATACAAAGGCCTTTAATTTAGCGTCTATACACAATAAAGGTTCTCATTTAGCGTCTATACATAATACATATTAACAAATAGCGTTTATACATAAAGGTTCTAATGTAGAGTTAAAATAAAGGTTCGTGTATGTAGCGTTTCTAATTTAGCGTGGGCATGTTAGTTCTAAATTAGAGTTTATTAAAAGTTTCTAATTCAGGGTGGACAAAGAGATTCACATTTAGCGTTTATAGTTTTTAATTTAGCGTGGCTAGCTAGGTTCATTAGATAGATTTAGTCAAAACATGAAAGCTAGGTTATTGTTTCTTCATATCTAGTTGTTTTTAATATTATAGGAGATTTTAGAAAAATGTAATTTTTTATTAACACGAAGCTACACACCTTTGATAAAATCATTAGACAAAGGTGTTTGGTTTGACTAGCCTACAAATAAAACAAAAATAACAAAACAATGTACGAGATTTTCGCTCAAAGCGAGTTTTGAGCTAGTTTGGGTTAGAGCGCAGAAATCAATCTTTCAATTACATGACCAGTGTACATCGTCATATACAAATTTATTTGTTGTTGTTGATAAAAAGGTAATTATTTTTTTTATTTTTTTTTTATTTTTAAGGCGCTAATTAAACAATCCAATTAAATAACGTATTTTGTCTCTACCTTCCCCCTTCCCACGCCCCTTTCAAGATCCCCATTCCCCTTAAGTCCCGTACACAATTTTTCTCTCTCCAACCGGCAGTATAAAAAAAGGGAAATAAAAACTCAAGGGAAGTAATTATTATTTATCTCCTGCTGATATAATCACAAGGGAGAGAACCCCAGTCACAGGCGAGGATTCTAATTTCCCCTTTCAACCCGCTATCTTAAAGAGTCGCGTATGTCGTCAGCAAAGAGCAGTAACTCCACTTCTCGGCGGGTTGGGATATACATGATATTTAATAGAAGAAGATGGTGATTGCCCCCCTTGGGAACAAAAAAAAAAAGTTTTGACTCGGGAATTTTTTTTTCAAGAGGTTTATAAGCTGGACGAGGGAAAACATTGGTTATGTCGACTTTAATTATAAATGTTTTGACATTTTTTTTTAAATTTAAAAATTAAGATTTATTTAAGTAACGCAATTTAGCAAGGAGAACTTGTTATTGTTTTTAAAAAATACTGTTTCGTTCAAACTCAATGTTTTCTTTGGAGCTTAAAATTTTGGTGCGATGTTTTAGAAGAAAGAGAATATTTTATGAAGAAGTAGCAATGTTATTATATATATATATATATATATATATATATATATATATATATATATATATATATATATATATATATATATATATATATATATATATATA